GCCTGGATAGTGTGTACTTGAACTGAGTAAAAACAGAGTGAGCAATAAATGAGCTATACTAAAAATAAAAACTAGACAATATATCCCTAGATACGGACAGTGAAACAATAAGATTAAATAAAGGGTTCAGTTCGGAATTCCCCAGGTTACCCAGATCAATATAAACCTGATCAAGGCTAGAGGGCACAACAGCCTAAGAGTTATGGTAAGAACAATAAAAATGAGGACAATAATCCACATGTAAATAACGATAACTTATCTCGGAAATTCAGACAGAAAGGATAAAGTTTGTTCAACTCTTGAAATATACAGGAAATGTCTTTGTTGCTGGGGCCTTATCCTTCAGCCTTTTCTTGTAAAATTTATCAGAAATTCTCAATTTTTCCAAATCTATTTGGTAAAAGGAAAAATGATTTAGTGATCACCTACCAATTCATTGATGGCTTTTACTTGATAAAGTCTGATTAATTTTGTTAGCTATTTTCTTAGCTTTCCTAAGATTCTTGCCTTAAAACACTTTGCTTCATCATTTTGAAAACATTATTGGCTAAATTTGTGAGTTTACTTGTGTTGCAATTCTTACCTTCTTTATATCAAGTGCTTTCTTTTTTCTGTTTAAATGTTACCTTTCTTTTAAATGACATCATTACAGATAATTTATTCATTGCAACTAGCTATTTGCAAATGCCATGGTAGCTGTTGCTTAGTTCATGCAAAGCAATTATTTTTTTGCTTCTTTTGAAAGAAGTAGTTTTCAGCTTTTAAAATGATCAAAAAAAAGAAGAAAAAAAGATTAAATTTCTCTATGCAATATAAAGAAAAATGCATATGCATCACACAATGATTCTGAAGGCATCAGGTGAAAAGTGAATTCAACAAATACAAATGATAAGAGTTTATACAAATACAAAATGAAATTTACACAGAATATTAAATTAAGATTATTGTTTAAACATGAAGTGTTTTTTTTTCAGTAAGACAAAAAAAAAAAAAAAACTATATAAAATCAATAAGTGGTAATGATCTCAAAGGCAATACTCAGAGTTCAGACATTAACAAATTGACTTTTTAAAATTGTTATTTCTTTTTTGTATTAAATAAATTATTTTTTTAATTTAACATCTAAAAGTTGCCTTATTAATTTGAAAATGTAAGTTTCATTTCATACTTTGTGAACAAAATGTATAGAGATCAATAGATAAATAGATACAAAGGAGTAGAGAGGGAAATGAAATTGCAAATTTATTTATAACAAAATTTTAAAAATACTTATTCAATTGAAATATTTCACATTGGCAACAACTTAAAAATTATTTAGGATTGGAATTGATAATTCAAACATATAAAGTCATTGAATACTTCCTTCATTATAACCTAAAAGTGGTTACCGCTAAGGAAATGGTTAATATCCTTAATTATTTTCTTTTTAAATCAAAAAGATTATAAGTCAGAAAACAAACTCTTAATATTTGATCAATTCAACTTCACTAACATCCTTTTTGCAACATAAGCAAACATTATCATGCAATGACATTTTCCATTCTCCAAATCAGGTATTGACTAAATTTTGAACAATTTCCAGTTGGTTTAGAAATCTATTGCATTGTTTAGTCACTTTGAAAGAAGCTATTATGAATGAAGTCACTTATGTTTTAAATATCCACCATAGCTTTCAATTGAATTTTCAGTTGCTACTTCAGCATCCAGATATGTTCTTTTGGTTATTATGGCAATATAACATCTATTTTTATCACAAGTAATAATACATTGTATAAATGGATAAATTTCGTGCCACAATCCTCCAGTGCCTATATTTTTTTTCTTATTCATTTATCAAGCTTGGTTTTTTCATGTTTTTTTTTTTTTGCTATTCTTAAATGATTTGAAATGGTTGTAATCAATACAATTCTGATTAAGGTTTTTGGATCTTTTTTTTGCCATAGCTTTCAAATCTTCATTGATTGATGGCATTGGCTTAAAAGATTATTTGTCTACTAATAGAGTCTTCAAATACAAACTTTCTTCATTTTGGCTTTAATTGAATTCAAATATAAAACAAAAATTATTGAAAAATTGCTATTTTCCTGAAAATGTAGTAAAAATTAATAGGATGAAGTTAAATTTTTAGGAAATATATCAACATAATACATTCTTAAAAAATTTCAATTAAAAATGTTATCTTTTGAAAGAAAAATGATAAAAATTTCATGCTTAAATCAAATTAGCAATTTCATGATAGAGATTTTATTACAACAGATACTTATTCAAAAGATTCAGCAAAAAACAGTTTCAAAGAAAATTCACATCACATAAGTAATCTTATCAAACAATACAGTAAAAGCTTATACAATGCAATAAATACTGAAACAACTTCAAATTTACAGTAAGCTGATTTATTTGTGAGAGATATGTTCCTAGATATCTCTGTGGGTGTTTTGAAATCATGGATAGTATTGAAAGTTATGTTTTTCTATAATAAAAGTTTAATTTATAAATTTTCTATGAGAAATTAACAACAATAACTAATAATAAAAGAATATAGTATATTATTATAATTGTTCTAAAAGTGACAGAAGATTCATCCTTACTATTAAATCATCCAATTTTTTCTTTATCAGCATTATTACACTTGCACTTTGTAACAATTAAGTAAAAACTGATAAATTGTTTATTTCTGAAGTTAAATGCAGGTAACTCACAGAAAGTAAAACAGTAGATAAAGTGAGGGATGAGAGAAACTGCTGGAGTACTTCAAATTTTTTCAGAGAATCTTCCTTGATTATCTATCACAGCTTTGCAACTCAAGTATTTCTGTCCGAATATCCAATGCTTTTCTATATAATAAATGTGAAAATGTCTGTGTGACACACATTTTCGCATTTATTATATAGTAAAGAATATAAGGAGATATTGAAAGTTAAAGAGTTGTGTCCCTTTAATTGAAAATGTTTGTGTGCGCCACACTTTTTCAGTTAAAGGGACACAACTCTAACTTTTAAATATTTCATCATCAAACGAGACTTGCTCATCCAGGATTGGAATTGAATCCTCAGATTGCAAATCTAGCTCTCTGTGAAATTGAAAACAAAGTGATGAACTTGGCTCATATAGATCTCAGCAATTTTGGCCTGCCAAATCCAAACTGAAAAACTGGACAACAGAGAAATTTTGCGAGAAACAGGATACAATATGAAAGAACTGTGGGAATATGTTCAAAACAATGAGCCCCTGTTGAACCAAGACCATCAGCAAGTCTATCAGCAGATCCTTGATGACATCAGCAACGACAATGGAGGGATTTTCTTCTTGGATGCATTTGGAGGTACTGGTAAAACTTTTGTAATTAACCTTCTTTTATCTGCAGTGAGACTCCAAAGAAAAGTAATTCTAGCAGTAGCATCATCTGGAATTGCTGCTACTCTGTTGCCTGGAGGGATTACAGCACATAGCATCTTCAAATTTCCATTGATTTAAACTACAATGAAACCCCTATTTGCAACATCAAAAGAGGGACCAACTTGGCTAAACTACTGGAGGAGACAAGCTTCATTGTCTGGGATGAATGTATCATGGCACACAAATGAGCTTTTGAAGCCCTGAATAAAACACTCAGAAACATTAAACAGAATTCACAAATCATAGGAGGTATCACTGTGCTACTCTGATGATTTTAGACAAATATTACTAGTCATTGCAAGAGGAACTCTAATAGAGTTCCTGAACTTATTGAATCCTCCTGAAATGCTATCACACAAGCTAGAACTAAAGAAAAATGTGCCAGTTATGCTATTGAGAAACCTGGATCCTCTAAAGCTTTGTAATGAAACAAGGTTAATTGAAGAAGATGCTTCCTCATCTCTTGGAAGCAGAGATCCTTACTCATCCAGGAAAGGAGGAAAGAGTTTTAATTCCAAGAATCACCTTAATTCTTCCAGATCTTTCTTTTGAGTTAAAAAGACTTTAGTTTCCAGTGAGAGTGAGCTATGCAATGTCAATCAATAAATCCCAAGGACAATCATTAAAAGTAACTGTATTTCATCCGATGGAACTCTGCTTTTCTCATGGCCAACTCTATGTTGGCTGTTCAAGGATTGGGAATGGAAACAAGCTATTTGTACTGACTGAATGTGAAAACCAAAAATGTTGTTTATTATGCAGCTTTGCAATAAGTTTCAAATAGACAAATTATATCATTGTGTTCATGAAAACTTAATTTTTTGAAAAATATTGTTCATGTTTAATAAAATTTAATATGTACTCAAATGCATGAAGTATCATTGTTGGACCAAAGGCCCAATCAAGAGTCCTCTTCAGGAGCTAACTTAAATGCTGCCTGATAGGGCAGCTTTTAAGCTAGTCTTGCAATATTTCTCAAAGCAATACAAGAAAGTATACTTCTAAATTGCTTAAAACTTATCGAGAAGAAAATGTTTAATGGAAGACTAACTTTGAAAGTCAAGTGCAATCTCTAAATTATCATAAAACCATCTTTATTACAAAAGTCATCCTCCAGGTGCTTTAAGCAGTGCTGAGTGATAATGTTTTATTACCAAAATTTCTATTTCAAATTATAAAACAAATTCTTTAGAGATAAGATAATATTCATGACTTATCCGATTAATAAAATGTAGATTTGGAAAGAAAATTATTTTGATATTCAGAATTAGGTTTTAAAATGATACAAAATGAGCACACCTTAGTTAGGGATAATCTTCAAAGAATTCATTTCCTTTTGAATACTTATTCTAGTTTTACTGCTGATGCAATTTTTTAAGACTTGTATATTTCTGATACGAACTGATAAAACATTTAGTTAAAATGTCAGTTATTTCTTTGAATTATTAGTATTTGTAATGTTTTAACACAAACAAATGTTAGTAAGGTACATACATACATACATACATACATACATCTTATATTCTGAAAATATTAATAAAAAGCATTTTTAATATGAAAAATATATAACACTTCTGTGCAGTTATGCTATATGTAAGTCTTACCTGATGCTGAAGGTACCGGAAATAAAAAGAAAAGAAAAAGCAATCAGAATCCATGAAACAAACATTGGGGGAAATAAACAAACAAACATAATCTATTGTACTTTAGAGCCACTTTAAATTACCTCTACAGTCATTTCTACTTACCATGTCTGCCAATTAATACTGTAACAGAAGTTGAAGACTTTCTATAATTTAATGCCAGATATATATTTATATTTCATCTTGCATATATTTGTTCTGTATAAATTCATTATACTTAAAGAATTCCAGATCATGACTTTTATTTTAAATATTACAAAGTTTGTCTTGCATCAATGCAATGGTGGATGAGGCTTATAATAAAAATGTAGTTGACACTAAGGCATGGAATAATATTAATTGCTAAAATATAAACCACGTTTGAAATTAATTATCAAAGGACATTCCAGTTTTTCTTTTATACTATGTGATAAGGCAAAAAAACAAAAAAAACAAAATCAATTTTTTGTATGCTCAAGTATACACATACATATTTGTGTTTGCCTCCAACTGATTAGATTACAGTTATAATTTAAAGCATCTATTTATGGTTTAACCAAACTAAAATTGAGACACGTATGGCATTAAAGTCAAGCATCTAAAGCAAAAATAAATTAAACATAAAAATTCATCAGTAAAATGTTAATCCAATTAAATTAACTGTTGCAATATCCACCAACCAAAAAGTCTGACAGGATGTGAAATTAAATAAAGTTTTACAAATCTGTTTAAACAGATTAAATTGCTACAAACTATATCTTATGTCAAATGTACAGGAAACCATTTTCAGTGAGATAAAATCTTGGAGAAAAAAAATACATAGTAAAGTTTTGTATATAGATTGCAAAAATTGATAGATGTTTTTAGATTAGAATTGAACCAACTTGTTACAAATACATGCTATCATTGATTCTTCTTTTCTTTCTACCACCAAAACATCAGTTCTATTTTTAAATTTACTTCAGAATTAACTTAAATTGTTCATTGAAAAAAAAAAAAAAAAAAAAAATTGTAATCTATTTAGTTAAAGATCTTAGGTAAGGGATTACATAATTTTCATGTTCATGGAAACATATGACACAGCAAAAACAAGACAAATTTCCATTAGAATTCCATTGCTGATTGATTTACTTTTTATCTACTAACAGAGAAACAAAATAATGAATAAAATAGAAAAATCAATCTTCAATTATTTGTATCTCAGTTTAGACCATAAGTTTTGAAAGGGAAATTTAGCAAGATAAATTTGTATAAAAAAGCACTAACAACTGAAATTCTTAATACATCCAGAATTTAAACAATTTAAGAAAAAGAAATGAGAAAATGAAGATGTAAAATATCTACAAGATAAACTGATTACTAAGAGGAAAAAGAAAGAAAGAAAAAAAAAAGAAAAAAAAAAGCTTCTATATCCACATGATATATTTGATAATTATTTTGAGTTCTTTATATATCTGATGGATAAAAAGAATATTTAAGATGTGTTTTTAAGACAATTTCCCGGAAATATTTTGAAGATATATTATCTTTATCAGAATTAATCACACTTTAAAAATAAAAATCTTTAAATCACTTGTCAGCAAAAAGCTGACAATACAATTCATATTATAAACATTTCAAATTGTAAAAGCTAACAATCATGAAAACTTGCACAGCATCTACCAATTCATTTAATGTAAATAAGTAAATTTTGTTTTACTATTATATAAAACATTGTATATATTTTTTAAATATTTATTATTAGTAATAATTAGTTGTTTTGTATATTTTCAGCTACTATTTCAAGGATGTGCCTTCTCACTGGACCTATTCAACCTTTACAATGAGGCAATTCTGAGAGAATTAGAAGTCCTACTAGGATTCATTACTGGTAGATACAATCTTAACAACATAAGATATGAAGATGACACAGCATTGATAACAGACACAAAAAGGAAACTAATGAACTCCTACAAAAGATAGTAAAGGAAAATAAAAAGAAAAGACTAATCATCAATTGTAAGACAGAATGTATGGTTGTCAGCAAGAGGAACAGCCCAAAATGTAAACTATGTATTAGAGACAGCAAAATCAAGCAAGTGTGAAAATTTAAATATCTGGGAAGTGTTTTAAAAGAAAACAAAAATTTAACACTGAAATCTGAATGCATATTGGAATAGTAAAAGATATTTTCCAAAAGCTAAGCAAAGTATTAATAGCTAGGAAACTTTTGTTAAAAATAAAGAAAATAGTGATATTGGTGCTTCTATATAAAAGTGAATGTGGGACAATAGGTGTGAAGCAACAGAAATGTGGTTCTATAGAAGGAGGCTGAGAATACCACAGACTGAACATATGAGTAATAAGAAGTTTTAAGGAAAATGGAAACAAAATGAACACTTCTACTTAGAATCAGTAAGTTAAAGTTTCTAGGGCACATAATGAAGAAAGAAAGCTTGGAGAATTTAACACACACAGGATATATTGAAACCTTACACAAAAGACAAACCTTATTAAGAACTACAAAGGACAGGAATTTGTGGAGAGCCATGATTGCTCACATCCTGAAAGTACATGGCACATAGATTTCATTGATTTAGTTTCCCCATAACAAGTTTGTTTAACATTACGTTACATTTTCCTTTGTTATTAAAATTATTAATGTATGATAGGATTGTACAGAATGACTTATTTTTCCAAATTTAAATTATTATTGGCTTCAAAATTACTCAAAAATATCTGAAAGATCACATCCTAATATCAAGTTTTCTGGATTAAGTACATTCCATACAGATCAAAATAGAGCATATTGTAAATATACTAAAAATAAAAAGATATTTCAGCCAAATTTAAATTGTATTGTTGAGCCATTGATATAAAATTTTATCCTTGCTATAAAAATTCCTTTTTTTTTTTTTATCCAGCAATACTCAGTTTATGAAGAGACAAAAGATTAAACAATGTAAACTTTTAACATGTACAGGAAATGTATGCTTTAATTGGCTCTCTTATTCTAAATGATCATACCATTTTTTAATGCATGTTATAGTCATTTAAAATGGTATGATTATAAAAATTTAAACTTACACAGCTGTCAAAATTATTCTACATCCCAATAATATCAAGTTTGTTGATAAATGCTGTGAAGAAAGTACTCTTTCTTATTTAATTGACGTTTAAAAAAATGAAAAAGTAGGTCAAGATATAATGAAAAAGAAAGGGCTCATGAATGTAAGTTTGAACTGATATAGAGAAACTATAGGCAGGAGAAAAATGATAGGTTAAGAACCCTAAATTTTAAGAAAATTGTTATGTATACACACACACGTTTGTGATAGCTCCATGAAAAAGAACAGAGATATATATGTACCCTCCGTTTTAGAAGCAAGAGTTAAAATAAACAAGTAAAAAAAAAAAAAAAATGTGCAAAAAAGGAAAAAAAAAAGATGGCATGTAAAAAGATTAAGTGCATAAGGAAGAAATCTTTACAGCAGAGCAAGTATCTCAATTAACTACCCTAATATTGGCTTGAGACATGGTGAGTCATTTTGCCAACCCCAGTTATGGAGTTGCTAAGATACAGAGCATAATGCCCATTTACTCAAATATTCAGTATTTTTATCAGAACTGTTTCTAAATGGAGTTTTATTAAAGCATTTGCTTACATCTAAAATTTCTAATTGCTATTTATGCAATGAAGTGAAAATAAATAATTCATGAAGTACCTATTATAGAGAAAAGTGATTTAGTTCACTGACCTGATAATGTACATAATACCACTTAAATTATTGTTAGGCACTAGTTAAAAAGATTTTTAAAAAGATAGTGCAAATTTTTAAAATTAATTTAACTGAGAATATACACATTTTTCCATTGCTCAATTAAAAATGACAATATTTTGAAGATATTTTTGTAAGAGCAGCATCATGAAAATTGTTTGGTAATTTGGAAATAAAGACAAAAAGCATGAGATGAACTTAATTACAATATAAAATAAGAAAATAATTTTCTCTAGAAAATGTAAAACCAAAAATGATTATTAAGTTTATCTCAAAAGGAATTTCCATTTCTAATTCAAATGAAATAGCTATAAAATATATATACTTTCAATTTCATGAAATGAACCTTAAAATAAATGTAAGAAAATTCTATAGGTTAAATAGATACTGAACTAATATTTAAGGATAAACAGGCTAATCATGTTAATAGAAAAATTAAGGTAGTAGTAAAAACTGCTAAATGAATTTGTGACTGGTAAAATAAACATTTTCCAAGATATTATAAAGTAAACAATATCCTCATAAAAATGTGTTTTATAATTAAATATATGTGAATATCACTGGTGCTCATCAAGAATTAAGTTATAAATTGAGCCGAGTCACATTTTTTAAATTTCTTTTAATCTATGGATACATTTTCATATTGTATTGGGTGACCAAAAATTTGGTTAAGTTTATTAAGATTTTTTTTCAACTATAACTTTATTGCACATTGTATTTACCAAAATGGTAAATACAATGTGCAATAAAGTTATAATTGAAAAAAAATCTTCCACTATCTTCTACCATCTTTCAAGCAACTTCATAATTCTTTCTCCCATAACTTTTGATCATTATCAGCAAAGAACAGCTCTAAGTACCTTTTGCAGTCTTCCATGGAATTGAATTTTTTTTCCCTTAAGACAATTCTCTAAAACTACAATAAACATTAAGGTGCAATATCTGCTGAATATGACAGTGAAAACTTTCCAGGTAAACTAACAATTTTTTCTTGGTCACTAAAGAAACACATGGTCTAATATTGATGGAATATTTACATCTTTTCTCTTAACTAATTCTAAACACTTTACATCAATTGCCACCTTCAATTGGATTAATTGGTGGCAAGACTTGTTCAAACCAATTGATTACTTCTCTAGAATGAGCTTAGAAGTCTCCCTTCCAATCTTGCCATTTACAAAAAATTATTTTCTTTAAGTGAAAACCAAACTTTAGTACAATTAGTAGTGGTTCATTTTACTTGCTCTACAATAAACTGCATTCCAAATGTATATTTTTCATTACCTGTTATAAATTGCTAAAAAAAGAAAAAA